AGCAAGATTGTATAGTTTTCCGTACTAAAATGGATCCTAATGGGAAGCTTTACAGTTAATATTTGTTACTAACTTTTCCCAAGCACGCGGTGATAGTGTTGTCGATATGTGTCTGCCACATGTCGACAGCCTCCTCGAGTTGCGCCACCAGTTTGGGATCCATCACGCGCACCTCTGACCTTTCCTCGTCCAGTAGTGGTATAGTTGGCATCGGCAGCTGGATCTCACCCTCGATGTGCTCGATGGTCCTGTATTTATTGTTATGCCATCAGTATAAGTTATTGGTACATATACTAGCTGTCGCCCGGGACTCCGTCCGCGCGGAATTAACAAAAAACATAATTAGTATTATACAAATAGAGATGTGTTCTTTCAGACTATGTTCTATATGGATGCCAAATTTAATCGAGATCCGTTTAGCCGTTCTAGAGATACCTTCAAACAAACATCCATCCTTCCACCGATCCAAACATTCGATTATAATATTAGTAAGATAAACTGAAATACCAATCAACAATAGCAACGAGTTCTTGTATGTCAGTGATAACTTCTTCTGCCGTAGACTTCTGTTTGTCGTGTACATCTCCAATGTGGCCCATTTCTGCGCTCGAGTCCTGTTAATTTGATATTGCTTATTTTTATCGATACAAAAATACAACTCAAACAAATCATCGTACTCAGGATCATTAATTAGTAAACTAAAACTACGTTAAGGTAATCCCTTGTTAACAGGCAGTTAAAAATCTAAACGGTAGAAATAGTTTAAATAAATTACCATGGTACCGAGTTGCATTTTACTAATCCTTTGTATAGCGGAGGCAGATGTGCTGCGCATACTTTTCATTCTGAAATGCAATTGTATCATGAAAACGTAGTTATTTAGGAAAATTTCAGAGGAATATGTAGCCATTTCTTAAATAAACACCTTCTTTCAGCATTTTCACCTCGTGCAATGTTAGACATTCTTCGGTAATCTGATGGCCGTAAATAATTTACCTGAAATAAAAAAAAATACATGTCAAATAGGTCGCTCGTCTTTTAGTGCAGTTACAACACAATTGTGTTTCAATGTATAAAAGTAATCAAATATCTCGGAGGCTCGGAACATCACATCAGTCGCTAGCGTGTTCACAATTTTGTGTTGTACAGGGATGTGGATGGAGGCAACCTTGACTAATCAAATAGATCGGCGCAGATATTAACTTGTGAGGCAGTCTCATCCATTTTGTAGTGGGCGCCAGCGTAGGAGACTTGTCGCGACAAGATGGCATGCGACGACTCCGCGTTCAGCAGATTAACCTCGCGGAACTGTTTGTTGAACAGCGGGATGTACATCTGCAATTATTTCAATACAACGTTTAAATTAAACAGAGAAAGGTAAAATGCAATATGTGACAGCCATTACGATAATTCCGTTATTTTTTTTATTATGCTACATAATAATGTGATCTTATAATATAGAGTGTAGATTGTCTATGGTGAAAGGATTGAATTGGAACAGTATGACGGCAACCGATACGCGATGGGTCACATCTGTGGGTTTCTGAGACCAAAATCTCTATATAAAACATGTCGTCCATCCCAGATAGCAATAAATTTTAAACGGGGATTTTGGTCTCTCAAACTCCCGGTAAAATATGTATACATGGTTCAAAGAAATCATGTTTTAGATAGGTAGTTACATAATTATGGCTACAGACAAGAATAAGCAAATAATAAAATAGCCTTTGTCATTAAATTAAATAAAGTCTAACTCACCTCTTTTAGTTGCATGCTCAAGCTCATCAGGACTTTGCCAGAAGCACATCCAGTAATTATATATTCTGGCATTTTAAGTTTAGTGATGTGATCGTTCTCCGCCAAGGGTATAGCTTCTGGTCCATGGCGAAGAAAGTAAAAATAGCGACGATTACGATTTGCCAATTTAGGGTCTAAGGCTCCAAAAATCGGTATGAGCTTAGGATACTTAATTAGTCGCGGCACAGGTCTCTGAAAAGTTAATAACTATTTAGTAGCGAACGAATATTGTAAGAAACTACTATTTCATAAGGTGGCTAACGAGCATTCAGGCATCTGTGTAAAAATGTATCGTTAAGCAACTTACAACTACAGTGTAGAACTCCACTGTCCCGTCAACATATGGGTCGAGATCTTCGGGCGCTGTAGACAGGTACATTTTATGCAACTTATTAACAACAAACAATATTCACCAATATGCACCAAGTAATATTCATGATGGTGGTTACCAATATAATTTTATAATTGTACTACCCTCAGTTTATATCTTACTAATATTATAAACGCGATGAATGGATGGTTGTTTGTTTGTTTGTTTGAAGGTATGTCCAGAACGGCTGAACGGATCTTAATGAAATTTGGCATAAAAATATAACAGAGTCTAGAGGAACTCAAAGGCTACCAATTATGTTTTTTTTTTTTTAATTTTAGTAATAATATAATCTTAATTTTAATAATTATCAAAATTATACTCACAGTTATAGTTATAGTAATTAGTTTAAGGAATTCTTACGTGGTGGAAAAGCGTACATGTCTTCAGGAGGCTGTGCTTCCTCTGTGGCACCTCGCAGATCTATGGACGTCTTGGTCTCATCCTCGCCTTCCGCGACTTCAGTTAGAGCTGCCGCTGTTTCGATCTCCGCTACATCTCCTAAAGATTAAAAAGTCAAATTGAAATGTTCAATTAACCTGACTTAAGTTTAAAAAACTTGATTTGCGAGTTCATGAAAAAATCTATCTGGCATAGAACATGTTGATAAAAATAAAGTCCTGAAATCCTTAGCTTTGGTTGATTTTATTTTGAAAACAGAAAATTCTCAAAATAACAAAACTGTACAAATTACCTTCAGCATCAGTTTCTTCTAACTCTGAAAAAAAGAAAAAATAAATTTACAGAAATTAAAATATAATGTTTGCCTGTCTGCAGACTATATGAAGTCTGAAGTATTGAATTAAAATCAAATGATAAAGAGATATCAAAAAAGGTTCCATAAAAAGGATGTTCTACCTTTGGATTTAACCTTTGCAGGTTTAGCAGGCTTGGCTTTCTTTGCAGGCTTTGCCGGCTCAGCATCTGCAGCCGGCTCCCCCTTTCCTTTTTTGCCTTTCTTCTTCTTCTGGACCGGTGGAGGCATAAAGGGCGGTGGTGGTTTTATCCCTTAACAGAAGTATTGATAATAAAACTAGCTATCATGTTTTCTCTTTAAATAATAACTAAGAACATAGTATAGAATTTTTAATAAAAAATATGTTAATTCGACGATTTTTTTGTACCAAAAAACTGTTTTTTTTAGTAAAGTCATACTTACGAAATTTTCTCTAAACTAGTTCAGTAGATTTTTTTAAATTAGTTGTTCGTCGCACTGGATACCATCGAAATAAATCCATATATTATATGTAGTATTTTTAATTTTTTTAAGTCTTTCTTAATACCAATCTACTTATTTATAATAAATAATATCAACTTACTCCATTCAGTAAACTCTTTATCCTCATGTATAAGTTTGTCAACAATTATCTTGCAAATATAGAAAGTTTTTTTCTCCAACGCTAATTCATTTGGAGCCATAGGTGTTGTGATGAATTTTGTAAAGTTCATTTTTACTTCATCATCATCAAACATATTGTAGAATAACTCTTCATCATCCATCCCAATGTGTGCAAGAATCCTGTCCTTAAACCATTGCACCCTAGGGTCTCTACGGAGGTCCAGTTCAACCTCAACATCTTCCAGAGACTGTGAGATGCTTCCCTCAATTATATTCTGTGACATCTAAAACCAATATTGCACTTAACCCGTTGTATCATTTTATAGGAGGTGTTTCTAGAAAGATAAATTGTGCTTGCCATATTGTTCCAAAAAGGGTAATATAAAATTTAATAATTCACATTTAATTATTTATGGTTTTGGCTTTTCACACCTGTGTATAATTTGTTCTATATATCGTGGCGTAACGTCACCACGTCTTTCATGTTGATGATAGTATTGTTATGGACTGCTAGTAGAAATTTTAAATCCTATATTAGACTTACCATGTGAATCTCAAAGCACTTCTAGCACTACATTAAATAAAGAGACTAATCCTCAGAGAAGTAGAAATGAGGTTCTTATTTGGAATTGAAAAATATATGAACTTAATATTACTGATTTTTCTAAAGGTAAATGTTTTTCATAATAATGTGTAATTCGAATAGATACTTACATTCAATTAGTAATCGATCCCCAGAACAGGTTTCTAGGGATTGTTTACAAACAAAAGAATAACAATGCCTGTTACCGGTTGTTGCCATAGCAACGAAGTTTTCTTCGCAAATGTCAGTGTCAATAATAATATTTGACATTGACATTTTTTAATATTACTCCTTTCAGCAGAACTAAAGATTCAAGCCAGTCATCATCATCATCATCAGCTCATTGTACGTCCCCACCGAGGGACTCGGATCCTACCCTAAGTTAAGAATGACTAGGCCATAGTCAACCACGCTGACCAAGTGCGGGTTGGTTGACTTCACACATATCTTTGAATTTCTTCTCAGATATGTGCAAGTTGCATAACGATGTTTTCCTTCACCATAAGAACGTCGAATAAATGTATAAATGTAAATAGGAAATCGAAAACACATTGGTATATGGCGGGATTCGAACCCAGGACCTGCAGCAGTAAGTCAAGTGCTTGACTCCTGAGCCTGAGCTGTGGGTTTTCGTAGTAATTTCGTACTATTTAAACTAAACAAGATTATCATTGACTTCAAAGACAAATTTTTAGCACTACAATCATCCTGAAAAGGAAAAGGAATACAGGTAAATACAGTAAAAACACAATTTTAGTAAAATTTACTTTAATATCTAAATTAATTTTAGTCAACATTTTAAAGCTATTTTTATTAAGTAAATATGTATAATATTTACATTTTAATTCTATTAAGTTGATTTGTGGGCAACACTAAAATAATACTTATTAGTATTTTACGTTTTCATTTTATTATTTGAAAGTAAACTGCCGAGCGGGGCGTTCTTTCGAGTACCCGCTAAAGTTATTATTTTCCTCTATACCTTCTATTCTGGAATTTATGTTATTACGTTGAGCTTCTTGTGTTGATATTAAATTACCTATCGATAACTGTGGGGCTGAATAAGAAGAAGGACCGTCATATAAAGTGTTAATAGTTTGACTCTGTTTTTGTGATGGACGAATAACATTATAACCCAAGTCTGTGCTGTAAGTGTCATCATTAATATTGTTATCTGTTAGTTCTATGCGGTTGTTATTTTCTACGGGTTTTAATTCAGTAAGTTGATAACTTTGTGGTTCGTTTTGGAAAGATTCTTTTTCATTTTGATTGCCTGATGGAATGAAGTGAAAAGTTATAAGATCGGGATAGTTGTTAGGATATTGTTTCACGCTTTGCTTTGGTGCTTGCTCGTTTGATACTGAATTGCCATCGTCAAGATTGGAATATAAATAATAAGATTCGTCTTTTTTATATGTAACAAATTTGTTTTTGTATGTTGGATGTGGTATTGTCCCGACAATTTTGTCTCGTAGCTGTGCTGTTATACCGGTTTCTGTGTTAAGAACATTGTTCTGTGTTTTTAGTTGTGGTTTTTCGGTAGGTAATTCTTCTAATCTCACAGGTTTATTAATAGCAACTCGACTTTTAAAGATATTAGCATTAATATTCGTAGATGTATCAATGCTTTTAGTGATACTATTTTTGGGTACTATAACACGCTGCGATTTGACCTCGTCTATGTCAGGTTGAATTAAAATATTCGAATTCGCAGGATTTGGTGCGTTAATTATTTGACGAGTCACTTCTGGCACAGAGTATTTATACAATTGTCCACTGTATATAGGTGTATTCGTGTTTGTATTTGATCCAGAGACTGATATAAAGGGATTTAATTGTTTGTTATTTGGTTTTGATTGCAGTTTGTCATTTTGTTTTATAGCTGCTGGATTTTGTTTGTATTTTGAAAAATTGAGATTTTCATCTTTATTTGATATGTATGGACTTGGTGTATTGAAAACTGATGCACTGTTTGCCTTATTGTAGTCAAGAGTTTTGTTGTTGTTGTTCGTGAATTGAGAAGCTGTCAGCTGAGAAATGGTGTTTGTAATGCGTCCAAATTCCTCGTTGTTCACTCCTTGGAATTGAGGTGGTGGTGACGTTGTTAGCGATTGCACATTGTCTTGAATTACATTGTTATATTTATTTGCTTTGTTGATGGAGTCTGTCAGCAGTGAAAATACTAGAGCCTGTGAAGCAGAATGATTAAAATTTTCATTCCAGGTTAATTTACCTATGGGTGTGAATTTGGTATTTGAATTATCGTTTTCTGTGTTCCTTAATACTAAATAATTGCTATTTCCTGTATTTAATATTTCTAACTCCGCATCTTTAGGTGTTTTGAAAATAAAATTGGCAATACTTTCAGGAATGGTAATCTTTATGGATACTGTTCGTTCTATTGTTGGTAACACCGATTCTTTTATGAAAGGTAGTTTAGAATATTTATTACTATTTTCATAATTATCGAAAGTTTCCGTTGGTGGTTCTAGTATGTTTGATGGGACTGCAACTAACTTTATGGGTTTAGGCAATGTACCAGGACGTTCTGTTAATTCTTCTTTATCTTCTGAGTTAGATTCAGAAGGTAAATTGTTAGAAACTATTGAATCAAGTTTTTGGTAATACTGACCAAAGTTTTCAGGCGATTCTGATCCTGAAATTTCATTAGTATCATTAACAATTTCGTTAACAGTAATGTCAAGCTTTTCTTTCGACAAATAGTCATAAAAAGAAAAGTTCTTATGATTTATGTCACTATTCGACAGTCGATTAGTATGTAAGGTGTTTGTGTCTCTGTTTATACTTGGTGTATCTGCTGTTGGTTTTATTCGGGAGGCAAAGGATTCAGAATTTTGATATGGTGAAAGTTGTCTTAAAGAAGATTTTGGACTGAAATATTGATTTGCCCGTATGGAAACTGATTCTGCAGGCGGCAAATATTGCCTTGCAGAAGGATTGCGATTCTCTGGTGCGAGGTACAAACGCGATGCTTTAGTCGGTTGAATAGTTGTTGTTATTAATGGTTCTTTGATTGAAGGACGTAAAGTTGTTGCAGATACATATAAAGGAGAAACCTCTTCGTCGGTGGATGAGGCTTGATATGGGGGTTCTGTAGGTTTATCATAGTTATAACCTGAAGTTTCTGGTTCTGGAGTATTTTCAAGTGATACCGATTCCGATGGTTTATTATAACTGTATGGACCTTCGAATTCTGATTCTTCTTTTACAGACGTAGGTTCGTTATAAGTGTAAGGAGTTGGGTTTGCAATTAATTTGGCGTTTTTAGTTGGTTTCAACACCCAAGTCTTAAAAGTTATTCTGGCTTTAGGTTGGCCTTCTTTTGGCTCTTGGATGAGTCTACTATAGGTTAAAGTTTTTGTTAATATGGTAGGAGGTACAATGTCACTACTTACCAAGCTCTGCTTCATTTTTTCACTTGTTTGAGTCTGGTTAATTTGTGCAGATGGTTGTCTAGATGTTTCGTAAGTATATTGTTGTTTAACTGGATTTAATGGCTTCACGTTATTACTGTTATTCTTTTTATCTTTATTTCTAAGTTGATAAGCATTATTTCCAAATGTTCGGGCAGCTTGTATCGTATTGTGGCTATTCCTCGTTTGTACAGAATTGAATTCAGTGTTAGATTGAGCACGTTGGCTATTTCTAAAATTGTTATATTTTTGGAGTTGACGATTTGTTTGGTCATTTTTAAAATTAGTCATACTTTGGGAATATCTGTTCTGTGTCTGTACTTGACCCGCATGACCATTGGAAATGATTTGTTCACTGGAATTACTTTGAGAATTTGTGTTTTGTATGTTTTGAGTATTTAATACTTGACGCTGTAATATTTCGACATTTCTCACAGTTGTCGGTGACAAAGTACTAAAAGTGGGAGGAATGTACTGTGGATTAGATGTTGAGGCAGCAAATGATTCTGTAGGTGGCCTATACTCATTCTGTCGTAATGCTATCTGAATTGCCTTTGTTGGAATATAAATATGACTCGGTGCTCTCTCAGGTGGAGCAAGCAAGGCGCCATTCGGGAATAGTTGTCCTGAAGGCGGTTTGTAACTTTGCATCACAAGTAATTTGCTTTTCATTGTATTCGTGTTGAAGGGATTACGAACAGGATGTGTTAATATGTTCTTTATATCCTTCATTAATTGTGTTCCTAATTTTAAGTTCTCGAATTGTTCGTTTTTATTTCTAAGTACTTCATCAGAGTTTTTGCAGTTAACATTCATCCACCAGTCACAAACAAAAACCGCTTGATTAAATAAAGTGCCGTTGGGACACAGAAATGATTGAAATCCATAAGTAGCTCCAACTGTACAAACTCTGAAGACTTGACAATTTGTGTCTATATCAGCGTAATAACCTGTAAAAAATATAAGACTTTAAAAAGAAATTCATAATATTAATGTGCATTAAAATGTTTTTTAAAGTACTAAGTTACCGGGTTCCCTTCCGGCGCAAGAGAAGCTGGTGCGTGGTATAGTAGCTAAAGTTGGGTAGTCGTTACCGGGTTGACCAGGCACGGCCAGTCGGATGTCCCAGCCATGGCCGTTGTTCTGCGGTGCTTGCAGTAGTCTGGCGTTCTGAGCGTTACTAGCACAGATGATTGAGACTGGAAGTAACATATTTGAACCATTGAAAACACGTTGCAAAAGATCATTCATAAGGTTTTGAAATTGCTAATAACATTCCTGTCTTTTCACTGTTCAAAGAAGTTACTTTGTAAAATTATGGAGAAATTGTTGTAGAGCTTTTTTAGAGTTAAGTAAGAGCTATATTTGCTTTACAAAATAAGCTCTTAAATATTATGATCCTCATTTAGGCTATGTGAGTTAGTTATTAAGGAAACCAAAATTATAATAACATCTTTAACATTAATAATGCTAAACATTTCTCATGAGTAATTCATAATCCAGTGCGTTGTCACAATACTGTGTCGCAAACGTATTGTACCAATAGTGAAGACAGTTCACATAGTTTTGTCGTGTTGACATTAAAGGAGCTATTGAAAAAAACGTATAAATGAACTGCAAAATGCATACCCCAACTCACACGTTTGCTTATGTAGGACTCTAAATTGGTTGTAGCTTTTTTTTCTATTCTTACTCTATTATTCTTGGGTAATGGAGGTAAAAATCAAGGTAACGTGCGTAGAATAAGTAGGACAACTAGATAAAGCCGACTACAGACCATTATCTAACTATACAGTTTTAGCTATACAGTTCAACTGCACAGTTAAAACTGAACGTGCGTAGGCAAATCTGAGAAATGTACAAATTAACTCATGGTACAAATTTTGAATACACTCGTACGATGTAAATGAACAGTCCGAAAGTACGAGTATAGTTAAAACTGACGTAGATGCAACGGTCCGGTTGGGCGTAGGAAAACACCGTGGGGTTTAGTGGGTAGTCCGGTCTTGTTCCCAGGCCGGGAGTCCCACACGAAATCGTCCCTGCAGCCCCCGCAGCACGGACGGCGAAGTGCATAAACGCATTCCCCGCGTTAACAAAAAAAACTGTGTAGCGGGCTTAAAAGAACAGTAATGATATTGGTAGCAACTGTAACTTTGGACAGTGAGTACCTAGCTTTATACTGAAAACGTATTATAATAAGTTTTTTTTAATTAGTTGAGACATTTACTTAGAGATAATAAAAAATGTTTACTTCTGCTATGTAATTTTGTTGCAACATAAAACTTCATACCCGGAAAAAAAATGGACACGTCTGACATAATTCAAATTTGTACGAAATACAATAGCCTGAATCTAAATTCCGTTATTGACAAAAGCCAGAAGCGCTTTATCATAAATATTCGGATTGTTCCGAATATCACGATAGGCTTAATTGTAATCGAGTTACCATCTATCGGTAGGTAACTTTTATGTTGACATTGATAGATAACCTGTGCCGACGTACACTGTTATATCTATTCCAAGCTTCAATATTGAATTTAGGCCGCGGTGCTTATATTGATAACAAATTGATTGGCTTTGTTTCAGATATACAATTCGATTGATTTTTACGAAATATCCTATTTATTATATGAAAGCTAAAGCTTCGAGTACTTTTATACAAAGATTGTTTCGATCGGAGCTTTTCTTTTTCACTGATACAGGAGTACAAAATAAACAGTACGTTGATTATTCTTATATGTTATACTAGCTGTCGCCCGCGACTCCGTCTGCGTGGATATATAAAAAAACTTAATTAGTGTAGCCCACCCATCCATCCATCTAAACATTCGCATTTATAATATTAGTAAGTTAAATAAAAAGCAACCCTTCAAGGCAGAAATTCGAAAAATAAAAAAATGAATAAATATTATAGTATCCTATGTCCGTCTCCTGGCTCTAAGCTACCCCCTAACCAATTTTCAGCCATATCGGTAAAGCAGTTCTTGAGTTATATTATAAATAGTGTAACTAGCACGACTTTCTTTTATATATATGGATTTATATATAAACGAAATTCCACTGCGGAAACATTTGTGTTTAATCATATTGGTAGTTTTGTCTTTTTTCAATGGCCTCTGACAGAACTAACTCTCAGCTATAAATGAAGTAAAATAAAATGCAACAAGATTAAACGTAACACGTTTTATGTTTTGGTGTTAAGTACGTAATATATATAATGATAATTATTCAGGGTAGATTCTCCCCGAGGCTCGTTTTTATTGTGTCAGTATTAAGATTAGTGAGACTTGAGTGAGATTACAGTAGCCCACGCGAGACAAAGGGAAGCTCATTTCATTTCGCCGGCTGAATGTACTCGCCTAAACGATATTACTACCGAATATAAAACAGAAATGTAAGAATCATCTTTGTTGCCTATTTATAAAGAGAAACCGCAGATCTTCCTAAAAAAACAAGTACAAAAATATACTATATTTTCCATAACAGATTAACCAACTATTAGCGCATGCCTGTAAAAAATGTTTTCAGCGCATTATTATTAAAAAGTCTATGGTTTTTCTTGTTTTTGGGTTGTGTTGAATTTTGATAAATTCAAAAAGTTTTCATTAAGTAACATTTAAATTGAAAAAAACTGTTCAGTTTCAGAAGTATATACGTATATTCAATATTCAATTTAGCCGCATTACTTAACTCTCCTCTAACCAAATATTATGTTACTGAATAATAAAATAACATAAACACAGGGCAATATTCATCGTTACGAAGCTACGCTGTGTTGTAATTGAATATTATAGGGCACGAGTACGTCGTGGATAATTTACGACGTTATTAAATATCCAATATCTGAGATAATGCGCATCATTTAGTCGTTAATAACTCCAATACCGAGCTTCACATATCCTACGTCCTTGTACATAAATATACTAGAAATTTCGCCATCAAACGTACGTGATAGAATTTTCAATGATTCTTTTTGGATTGGTTAGGTTGTTCGTTGTCTTGTTATCAGTCGGTGTGGTTAGGTTTTACAAGGCAGCAAAGCTTTGATGTGAGCCACGAGATGGGATCGATATATTTGAATGAATTTGATAGGCGTTCTTGGAATACTTTTCTACTATAATATAAATCTATATATATAAAAGAAAGTCGTGTTAGTTACACTATTTATAACTCAAGAACGGCTTTACCGATATGGTTGAAAATTGGTGAGGAGGTAGCTTAGAGCTAGGAGATGGACATAGGATACATATTATATTTATTCATTTTTTTTTTCGAATTTATGCTTTGAAGAGCTACTTTTTATTTAACTTACTAATATTATAAATGCGAATGCTTAGATGGATGTGATGTGGATGGATGGATGGGTGTTTGAAGATATCTCTAGAAAGGCTGAAATGATCTCGATTAAATTTGGCATACGTATAGAACATATTCTGAAAGAACACATAGGCTACACTTATTAAATTATTTTTTATATCCACGCGGACGGAGTCGCGGGCGACGGCTAGTGATTAATAATTGTTTCTTCCATTAAATACAAACAAACCTTGAATTTACTTACAGCGCGATATAAAATAAACAAATATGTTATTTTTGTTTTAAAATTAGGAATTTGTTTAGGATTTACTGATTTGATGCAATTGAATTTAAAAGTTCAAGCATCAAATTCTCGGTGAGTGTAAAGTGGATAAGATCACAAAATAATTTTTTTTAAAAAAGGTAATGTTTGCATAAAAATGTTGTATTTGGCAATGTAAAAAAAAGCAAAAACTAATCGGATCAATTGTAATCAATTCCCCTTCTGCTCGAAAGCACCAAGTAAAAACTTAAACTAAACTAGGTTGAAAGTAAGAACTAACTTTACAGTGAATTTAATTTCATAGTGAAACCTTGTAAATGACATTTTCAATTACTTAATGTTTAATTTAGAAATAAAGTTAATATCAAGTTTGCTAGATTACAAAGGAAAGGAAGGAATTGTTCATTGAAAATGAAAATGCCTATGTTTTTGAACCAGTCTGAAGATATTTGTAAGACTATTTGGGTGCAATATTTTTAACGTTTAGAAAATAATATTTACCACCTATGTCGACGAATCACGCCAATAACTGGCTATGCGCCTGTTTTACAATGTCCAAATTAGTCCTGAATAAGCTAAAGGAAACTTATTTGAATAATAAAGTCGTCGTAGGCTTTTCACAATCTTCAAATAAGCTGTAAAATGCTAACTATTTAGACAGGAAGCGCCAGTTAATTTATATCAGAATAAGATAAGATATAACAGTGGTAGAGCCCGCTTTAACATCTTCGCACGAATTGGCCTGGCTCGCCCGGTGAAATACAACGACCACACAGAAGACAGGCGTAAAGTGGAAGCAATTCCGAGATTCGTCTGATGAGTGTGCGTCCCGGAGGACTAATTTAGTCCTCTTTCCCTTTCTACCCTTTTCCTTATAAGGAAAGGATGGGGAGTGGAAGAGGACTTTCTGGATGAGAGGATGCATGGGATGGGAAAATATTTTCTTTCTGTGCATCATCTCCTCCGTCGGATAGCGACCCTAACGCTTGACGTCCCACACTCCTCGGTTTAAGACGGCTCTCAAATAATTAAGCATTATAGTATACTATAATGTTTTTGATTGTAGAGATTAATGCATCTTTTTTTGTTATAACAGGTCAATGAAATAGAAGCTGAGAAGATTTTTTTCCTACAAGCTATTGAACCAGAGACCATTGTTTGTTACTCGTATTACAACTTCTCGATACTTGAGTTTGAAGTCATTGTTTTTCTGGTAAGTCTTTGTTCTCATTATTTGTAATTGCTTTGTACATAGACATGGACTTTCCTTCCATGTAAGGAAATTGCTATGATCATGATTTATATAAGTAAAAAATAGAGAGCTTTAGACTTAATCTGTAGGTAATAAATTAATAAATTATTCCTCACGTTAAAAAAAGGGTATAAAAATTATAGAATTTTTTTCTTCTTCTATGCTAAATCCAATGTTGTATAAATTACAAAAAAATTAAGTAAATATAAACAATCAAGAACGAATGAATGGGCCTAATATTTTATAGTACGGTTTATGGTATGGTAAGGAACATAATGGCGTAGGTTCGAAACCGCAACATATGGTCGTTTCTTGAACTAAATAGTATCAGAAAAGTAAGCCTAATAATAATGAAGTTTTGATGTAGAAAAAAAAATTAATCCAAAAAATAAGTTTGTGTTTAAAAAAATATTTTTAATAACTTACTGAATAAATATAAGCTCTTCATTACATGTCCTCTCATGACCACTTTTCACTTAGAATTCAGTACATAGAAAGCTAATTTATTTATAAAAATGTGTCAACACAAAACTTTGCAATGAAATACCATTAGCTCAAATCCTTTGAAGTTAAAGTAAGGGAACAAAATGAATTAAAAGCCTTTTTGCTGAATAATACGACGGAGAATTATTCCCCGCGGCAACTGTAATTCAAATGGTGGGTCCCGTCAAAGAAATGCTGTATAAGCCGACGCCCTTCCAAAGCGTTCATTTGTAAGAAAAATGGTAACAAAACCCATTCGCATTTCCCCGAGTGTTTTCGTAGATGTGGTTAATGTGGATTTAATTTCCATTCGTTAGTTATTACATTAAATATTTCCTAAAAATTGAAAACGAAAGGCTTTTTATATTTAAAACCTTTCATCTAAAGATACTCTACGTCATTTTCGTTACAAGATTTGATAAGCTTAAAATCGTGCGTCTCAGGAATTAACAAAGAAGGAAGAGACTTCAGTTAATCCATTCGCGATAACGATTAAAAACATAATCTTCACTTCCTTTTTGATTATTGCCAGTACCATTTTAATATGCTTTAGAAAAATGTTTCTTAAATCAATTTAAGAATGGAATATAAGTACCTTTTTTAAAATAATAGCATTTTTTTATTTAAGACAAATTTAATCTATTACGCATAATTGCTTGTGCTTTTTCTGAAGTGAAACTTAAGGATTTTTAAATGCGATATCATATTAGTAGACTGTCACCAATCTTTGTTTGTATTTTTTCTGTATTAAAAGCTATTAATTTTAAGCAAAATTTAAATACCGATTTGTAAATACAGTTATTAAATAGGTATGTGTAATATATGTCTATCAAATTCCCTTAATATTGTCATGCGAATGATAATAAGAAAATCCATTGTTTGTATCGACAGCTGTTGCAGTTAACACACCAACAGATAATTACATTGGAAATCCATTACACGTAATAAGTGTAGGATTGTGTAATCAATAGCGTCGTGAATACTAGGGCGGTTTGGTAATTTGTTACTTTTTTCATCTGATCAATCATCAATGAACATCGGCCATCGTAGTAACGCCAATAAGTTACACATTTGTGTCTAGACGTTGTGTTTCCTACACTTATATATAGTCTATAGATATACCGTTTGATAGGACGCTGTTTGGAAATTACTGCTATTGCTTTGTTTCGAAATAAAACTATTACTAATTGCTAAGGTCTGCGCCATAGTGGTAAAAATCAAATAGGCACAAAATACCAAGGCTTGTAGCCTGTCTAGTGGAATATAATACATAAGTCAGTGAGAAGATGCTTAGTGCATCCGATTTAAAAAAAAAGGATAAGGCTGTTGATTGTTATATTTAGTAATACTTAGGGTCCTTCAAGAAGCGAGCATACCATTTCCTTAAAGGCTGCCAACGCATCTGCAGTCCCTCTGGTGTTGCCGATGTCCATGGATGTCGTTGTACACCTCGGTTTTCCCGCCGCTCTTTTGCCCCCTTCATTTATTTAAAAAAAACTTCCATATTGATAGGATTAAAAAATCTTACTATGTTTATAGAAATATTAGTTAACAGCTAGTTATCTGATAAAAATAATACATTTTCTACCTAATAACTAGATACTACTATCAACTGCTGTTCGTCACAAAAGCGATAAGCGGTTATGACTGTTAAGCCTACAAATAACATAGTATTATTGTTATCATTCTGCACGTTACAATGGAATTAACATAATATATAATGTATTACGACTTCCTAACATGTCGTTTAATTACTGGTAACTAATTCCATAGAGATTCATATGTTATAGAGCTGACAATGCGAGCAATTTCTTTTAATTATTTTAAGCATAATCGGCAGTACCTTTATCTGTCGCAAACGTCAAACTAGATACCCGAAACTGTACCAAGAGTGGAGTTTTGTGAGCATATGTTTTTGGTATACAAGTATTTAGATTGATTTCAACAAAGCCAAGTATTCTGAACTTTGAGACTCGTCATAAAGTGGGCCGATAGTCGGCGCCAGTTGCGTGCTATGGTCGCTTCACATTCTGGATTCAGTGAATACAGAATATTGCCAGGCGTGCCGGGAATATTAATTAGGTCGGCACACAGCGTTTGTACCGCCCCCGTCACTGCTCTGTTACCCTAGCTTGTGTACACAGCGAGCGTCTTGTCTAGACATGTTCATTATCTCTGGATACTGCAAATAAACAAATAACATCATGCAAATTGAACATTTTCAACAAAACCTTTTACATAGAAACTAGGTACCATAAAGTTATGTTATTTGTTGAATAACATAGGAAAACATTATAGTTCTTTTGTCGATTTGTCTTTAAACTGACTTGATATAATATTTGAAACAGATTCCATTGCTATTTTATGTAGACAACAGTAATAAATTTATTATCCATTATTCATTATACTATGTATACCAGTGTTTCTAATATGTGCCAAAAGACAAGGGAAAAGGAAGAATTTTTTTTTTTTATTTTATGACCAAAAATAGTAGTACTGGTAGTAATTCTTTATTTCACAAAAACTTAATTTAAAATATACATTAATGTTATGCCGAACAATAAAATAACTACAAAGGATTATAAAGAAATGTAGAGCTTTAAAGTTTTTATTGATGTACCATATTTAATTACATTTTCCAGTGCGTATAGCATAGGTCGACAATATTCGCACGGGGCTAAGTTGATTAATTTACCTCGACTAATATAGAGCCAACTGTTGCTATACTACTATTAACTAATATTATATTATAATACTGTGAATAGCGCTAATATTAAATAACTAGCTGTCGCCCGGGAATCCGTCCGCGTGGAATGAAAAGAAACTTAATTAGTTCTCGGCAATTATTCAAATTTTTCTTACATTTTAAACCTTCCCTAGACCTCTACGAACATTTCAAGACCAAGATAAGACAAAACCGTTCAGCCGTTCTCAAGTTTTAGCGAGACTAACGAACAGCAATTGATTAATCAATATATAAATAATATAAGTATATATAAATATAAATCATCATGATAATCAGCCTAAATTTGTCCACTACTGGACGTAGGCCTCCCCCATCGACTGCCACAATGCCCGGTCCTGTGCGGCTCGCATCCAGTGCACTCCCGCAAATGAAAGAATGCAATTTAAATTGGTAATACAACAATTATATATTTGATTATGTACAAAAATATCATATTCTCGAGATAATTTTGCTGAATTATATACCTGGCAGCTCAAGAACACGTTGATTTGTTTTTGCTTCAATATTGTAATAGCAAAGTTTGTTGAAAACTTTTTGATTAAACGCCTGCGGGGAACACAATTATTGACTTGATTTTGATTTGCTTATTGTGTTTAATCATTAAATAAAAATACAAAAACCAGCTGTCGCCCGCGACTCCGTCCGCGTGGATACATATATGAATATTTTCCTTTGCTTCTCGTTGTGAAATATTTCATTGTGTAAACTTGAATTGTTATTTATTTTATGTGGTGCAATCCTAATTAAAACAGCTGCGACACGAATTTGCCTTGTCTGGCTCGTTTCTGGGAAATCCCAGCTGTTCTTCCCAATGTCTGACTCATTTATTTCTATTATTGTAGATAAAGTAATAATTTATTTATTAAATCATTTTTAACTAATGATAATAGTACCTGTGACATTTTTTGGTTGACTAATAATGATTGGAAAACGATCTTCGGGGTGGTCAGCAAATTTCTTTACATTTCTTATGTTCATGTGTTCATTTTGTATAGTATACCATACATACAACTTTATAAAAATATACGATACCTATGAAATAATTTTTAACTTTGTTTTTTGCTTTTCTTCAAAAAAGAAATCTTGCTACAATAGTATTATTGTAGTATTTATAGTTTGTATGCCATAGTTTGGTAAACAAGTATTTTTTAATTTTCGTATGATATAGTTTGCTGAACGGTGAACGAAGTCGTTACATATTATACAATCTTTTGGTCAAGGTTGGTGGACCGTAAACTTATCTAGTCCAGGGCTGTATACTTGTATTTATTATTATATTATTGTGAATGGCAAGAAAAGGCATTAATTTTTAAGTGTCATACAGCATTGTTCACAGTAAGAGTATGTTTAATCCACGTTTCTGAAATGTGTAGGATAAAAGATTTATTCGATGGACATATCATAGTTAAACTTATATAAATTATTCAAACTTTCGTGAGTCATTATAATGCTAAAGGCTAAACACTCACGTATATTCGTCCGGTGGCGGCACCGACTAGTTTCGAGCCCATCGGTTACACTTCATCAGGGTGAGTGGTACTCGTATGAATAATTAATTATCGTAGTTACTTTACGAATTCAAAACATTACCAGTAATACCAAAGTATAAGTACATTTGTAGTAACTTATTATATTTTATAAAATATCCTGTGATATCAAAGTACTACTTTCTTGCTGCTTTTTCTAGTATAATTTATTATTTAGTTTAATATTTATAATAATTTTAATAGATATAATATTACAAAGGAGTCAATTCACACCATTCAATTTCATCAGTACGTTCAAATCCTAATTTCTTATACAACTTATAAGCACTTTTATTTCCCTCAACACAGAAGGCGACGACATATCTCTTTTGTTCCAATAAAATATTTGATATTAATTTTAAAACTAATTCACCATACCCTTTTTGTCTATGATTCTCTAATGTGTACAAGTGACCGAGAGCTCCCATTTCTTTGATGAAAACCCATGCAATTAAGTCATTTTGTTTGAATAATCCGAATCCTAAGTTGGCTCGGGTTAGAAGATCAAAATACCAGCGAGAGCCGTCGTATCTATGCGGCCAAGTCGAATCAACTAAATCCAAGTATTCGAGTGTCAATTGTTTAAACGTAAATCCATCTGGTAAACTGCAATTTAAAAATATTATTTGTACAAGAATATTTATTGAAAATTTCAACTTATTTTTAATTCGTATGATGACAAGAAGTAAGAAACAAATTGTTAGGTACAAAGATATCTCATACTAGCTGTCGCCCGCGACTCCGTCCGCGCGGAATTAAAAAATAATTAGAATCCTCTGTGTTCTTCTAGACTATGTTCTGTATGTATGCTAAATTTTATTGAGATTCGTTAGCCGTTCTGGAGATAACCTTCAAACAGACATCCCTCCATCCATCAATCTAAACATTCGCATTTATAATTTTAGTAAGTAGTAAGATGAGTACTATTTTCATTGTCTTTGAAAAAAAAATTGGATTAAAAATACTTGTCTATGCAATGGACTATCACGGTTAAATGTGTTTTATTATAGAATCACCTGAGATCCTTAAATAATGGCGTCTCTTTATGTAAAATAAATGTTTCCGTCCTTGTAAATACGGTCTTCATGTTTTTCTCGAAATTAACTCTCCTTACGCAGTCCATAACATGTTTCGGTGCAAAGGGCACTGCAATTTGTCGAGACCAATCTATTAATTTGCTTGTCTTTAATGCATCTTCCAGTTTGCTTGTATCATCATTTGGTGACTGAATTATGATTTCATAGAATGTTTTCTGTAATAAGACAATTGTAATAAGTAGACTACACTTTAGTTGGCACGTCGGGATTAACAGAACGCTTGTTCTGAAGTGCCAAATCAAATGCCAGGTACTTAACGTTATTAGGCTGAATAAAGTGTTTGTTTATTATATTCCTTACTTATTAAATATTATAACTATAGCCTATATCACTTGGGGATAGAGCTTTCCAACAATGATAGAATTTTTCAAATCGCTTCAGTTTCAGGGCCTATTTATTTATTTATTTATTTATTTACATGGTAGACTTACAGCTAGAAAGTAACAATAATAGACACAAGATAGTTAACATATAGCTATTTACAAGTCTACACTTATAGCAATGGCTTAAATAATTTGTCAGTCAGCACATGAGATATAAATACTTGACTTTTTTTTAAATATAAATATATATTCAACCACCGCTCAATTTATCTGAAAAAATCCCGGCTTAGACAACTCCTCGCTGAGGACACACTAGTTGCAAATGGGTCTATATCACACTTCTTGCACAGTGCGTTGAAGCTGGAGCTCGCACGCACCACACACGAGTTCTGCCTGTAATTAGTTGACGCGTACGGTACGCTTATGATGGGATTGTACCTACAAGATTTGCTAGGTACACTGAAGTTGAATTTACATAGCAATTCCGGACAGTCGATATTATTTTTTAGTATTTTATGAACAAACATGAAGTCGGCAATCTCACGACGATTCACAAGCGGCAATAAATGGAATTTCTTACAAAGGAGGATATAGTCTTTAGAGTGATAAGGAAGTCTTTGGTGAAAGCAAAGGAACTTTATAAATCGTTTCTGTATATTTTCTAACCTATCAATATATTTATGATATTGGGGATTCCATACTTGCGACGCATACTCCAATTGACTTCTAACATATGTACAGTATAGTATTTTAAGAGTCTTAGCTTCAGTGAAGCATTTAGCGAGTCGCATAATAAACCCAAGCGACTTGGAAGCATTTTTGGGAATAGTGTCAATATGCATATTAAAGAATAGTTACCTATAAGGTTACCTATATAAGGTCTATAGTTACCTATTTTATGTACAGGCGTGATGTACGCAGACTTCCAGATAAGAGGAACTACACACATTTGAAGGGACTTTTGAAATAGAAGTGAAATAGGCAAGGATATAGTCGAAGAACAATTTACAAGAAGTTTGGGTGAGATGTTATCTGGCCCTGCCCCTTTCGATAGGTCTAAATTGTGAAGGATGTTTTTCACTTTGTCAACTTTCACTTCCACGCTACAGATGTCTGAGTGCGGTGATATTGATTGGGTATTTGAGGGTGAGTTTGACTTTGCATTTTGCTTTGACTGATTAATGTTACAAGGATTTAGAAAAGACGTATGGAAAAAGGAAGAGAATGCCTCACAGATTGCTTTACCATCAGAGAAGGTTTCATTTTTGTAGACAAGAGTACTAGGGACAGTAACCGAGTTGTAGCGGTTTTTAACAAAACTCCAGAAAGCCTTGGGATTCTTTTTAATAGAATTTTCACAGAGATTAATATAGTTTTGGTAACATTTAGCTTCCATCGTTTTTACTCTGTCACGCAAAAGCTTGAATGATAATTCATCTGACTTATTACCATAATTCTTAATTTTTTTAAAGTATTTATATTTTTCTTTAATCGTTTTTATAAGAGGCAAGTTGAACCACACCGGATATGTTTTATTATTAATCCTTCTACGGGGAATATGTTTATTTTGAAGGTGTATTATAGTTTTATTAAAAAAGTCAACGGATTCATCCACTGTCCGTTGTGTAAATTCTTTATCCCAGTCGATTAAACCAATGTCCCTGTTAAGGGATTCAAAATCTCCTTTGCTGAAAATATAACGCATACCTGGAGCACAATCTAGAGGTGGCAACAAACTGACTTCGTTGTCAATTAATAATGCGGGGTGGTAGGCATCAATAGAAACAAGAGGTTCAGGACACTCCATTACCGAAACTGAGTAGTTCGAGAGTACTAGGTCTAGAATTTTACCATACTTATTAGTCACACCATTATACTGTTCAAGGCCCATCGTGCTTAATCCATCCACTAGCATAACTTTATCACGACTAGAGTAATTCTCAGGAGCAAAACATAGATTATTAGATCTCCATAGGATTCCACTCAAGTTGAAGTCGCCTATTACCAAAAATATGTCGGTGTCGTTATTGTTGTTTATCACTGATTCACTGAGACTCGATAGAAAATTATCCAGTTGCAAAGAGAAAGAGAGACCGTGGCTCTGTTTGCATAGATAAACAACACAGATATGCATAGTAGTATAGTTACGCGAGTCACGGTTTTTAATTCGAATTTTTATCCAGAGATCCTCTGCCGAGGAGTGAAAGAGTGGGTCCGGAGTGGCAAGTAGCTCTCTCCGCGTCGCAATGAGTACACCACCGCCAAGGGCCTGCCCGGTGAAGTCACAATCACGGTCACGTCGCCACACCATATACCTTTCATCAAAGAACTCCGAATCAAGTATACTACTAGTTAACCACGTCTCTGTCAGCACAATAACATCATAAGAATGTAGTAGCAAATTTCGATAAAAGGTATCAGTTTTAGTTCTAAGTCCGCGTACGTTTTGATAAAAAATCCTTAACTTACGTTCACCGATATATGCGCCTGTAAGTTAGAACAAAAGTTTTATAAACATCATTATAAGAATTTAAGACACAGATATATTCAAAATTAAAGTTATGTGAAACACGATGTATATTTTTGCATGTAGAAAGTGGGTGCATCGAAGTTAGTTTCGCATAAACATTTGCAAACGTGCTATCAATAAGTTAAAGCAGAACAGGAGATAGTGGTGCTTATTAATTAGTGCGGGCGCGAGCGAGCTGCAGATAGTTAATTGTATTAAACAAAGAGCGGTTGCAAGTCTTAATAACGAAGCAGGGGTCTTAAACATTTTACAAACATGTAAAGTGTTAATATTATCATTTTATTTTTGTATTAAATTATAAAATTTAATACAAAAATAAAATGAAAAATTTGTAAGGAAATAAACGTAAAATATAGATAACATTTTAAATAATTTTGTTTAAATCTGTCTCATTTCTAATAATAATAGTTTTTGATGTGGTATTCTTTCTGATATGTATTTTGCCATACTTTACCCATACAAATGTGTAGTTACGTTCTTTGGCTATGGCTTTAACTTTACTTAATAATTGTTTGGACTCGACGGTGAGATGGTCATTTATGTAGATACG